ACGGGTCCTATTGTGATCCCATTGCGTTTGCCAACGCGACTTACAGTGGAGACCCCTGCCAAGAAACACCTTGCTTGCCCCCAAGTTGCCCTGGGTTTCTTGGGTTTCGATGGTCTTGTCATGAAAAGCGTGACGCTCCCACGCAAAAACTCGATGGACGTCCTGGGGTCTCAGGGTTGGGTTTCTTGTGGGAGGTTTCTTGTGGTCGGGCCCCTGCTGTAGTGATCCCTCTGGTTTTGCCAACGCGTTTTACGGATGCATGGCTTCTGGTTTTCCTTGAGCTTTTTTTGTGTTTCCGCGGAGGCGGCGGCTGCCTGGTCACCTTCTCAAGAAGCTTTAGTGCACTGCTCGGGATCGACCCGAGCGCCTTCGTCCTCCTCCTCCTCCTCCTCCTCCTCCTCCTCCTCCTCCTCCTCCTCCTCCTCCTCCTCCTCCTCCTCCTCCTCCGCTCGTGTGGTTGGCGGCATCCGTGTTCTGGCACCCGCTTGAGGGCATATTGTGTGCTCCACATCTTCTCCCTAACTAGGTTATCTTGTCTTTGCCGTGTTGGGTAGCTTCATGTTCTGTGTATTCGCTGCCTCTGCTTCGCAGACGTGGGGCGCTCCGTTGTTCTGCCTCGGGCTATCGCAACCCGGAGGGTTTCGTTCCTACGGGTCGGCACGCCATCAAGCACGGGTCCTATTGTGATCCCATTGCGTTTGCCAACGCGACTTACAGTGGAGACCCCTGCCAAGAAACACCTTGCTTGCCCCCAAGTTGCCCTGGGTTTCTTGGGTTTCGATGGTCTTGTCATGAAAAGCGTGACGCTCCCACGCAAAAACTCGATGGACGTCCTGGGGTCTCAGGGTTGGGTTTCTTGTGGGAGGTTTCTTGTGGTCGGGCCCCTGCTGTAGTGATCCCTCTGGTTTTGCCAACGCGTTTTACGGATGCATGGCTTCTGGTTTTCCTTGAGCTTTTTTTGTGTTTCCGCGGAGGCGGCGGCTGCCTGGTCACCTTCTCAAGAAGCTTTAGTGCACTGCTCGGGATCGACCCGAGCGCCTTCGTCCTCCTCCTCCTCCTCCTCCTCCTCCTCCTCCTCCTCCTCCTCCTCCTCCTTGGCGGACTCACGGCGAGCCCCAAAATAGGCTGCGGATGCCCTGACTGCCGCAGGCTCTGACTGCAGAGAGCGCGCCGCCCCCACGAGCCGGCCAGACGAGGCGATCCGTCTCCGAGGATCGAAGGAATCGGCACCTTTCCCCCAGCAGAAGGCCAGAGGAGGGCGGCGGACCCAGACATCGGGCGTCTCGAAAAAATCGAGACAAAGGTTTTTCATAGTTTTTGGCCTCTCGGGGCCCTCGCCGGGCCTCGGGACCGTCAAAAAACGCCTCGGGATGAAAAACCGTCAAAAAACGCCTGGTCGGGAGGTCGGGGGCCCGCGTCTCGAAAAAATCGAGACGTCGGATGTTTGGGTTCCGCGGGCAGAAGCCGGCGCGCGAGGCTGGCGGAAGCCGGCGGAGGCAAAAGTCCACCAGAGGGTGGGGCCCCAGCTGCTCCTCACAGGGCCACCCCCACGGAGGTGGGGGTGCGTCCGGGGCGGGCCCGAGGCAAGCTCCTGGGCCTTGGCTCTCCACACGCCCTCGCCGCAGGGCGTCCGATGCAGGTCTTAGACTGCGCCGGGTGTGGGTAGAGACCGAAGCCCGCCAGGAAATTGCCGCAGACCAACAGGGAGCGGTGATTGAGTCCGCCCAGGGAAAGGCATCCTGGCTCACGGTCTTCGGAGCCCAGCAGTGACTGAGTCCGCCGAGTGATCGATTGGGTCCGCCGAGTAACGATCGAGTCCGCCCAGTGATGGAGTCCGCCCGGTGATGGAGCCCGCCTGGCAGTGACCGAGCGCTCCTCCGCCGAGCAGGGACGGCGTCCGCCCGGGGGGACCGAGCCCGCCCCCCGAGAGCTGGGAGGGCCGCCTGGCTCGGGGCCTCCGGAGCCCGCCGGATGCTCGGCATCGCCTGGACGTGTGCAGTCTTCCTTCGGCGAGGACCCTCGAGGAGCATCCTCGATCACTTGGCGAAAAAGCCACGCACGAAACCGAACAAAAACACAGGGAATGGACGTCCAAGCGATGGCGAGGATGCTGCGCCGCCGCCCGTGCCCGCCGCGCGGGGCGGCGGGCCCCTGCGGGCGGGCGGGCGGGGGGCCCTCCGCGGGCGCCCCACGGGGGCGCGCCGCGCCGCTGCCTGCGCGCCCCCCGCGCCGCCGCCCCCCCCCCCCCGGGGAGAGGGGCGGCGGCGCGCCCCCGGACCCCCGGGCCGCGGCGCGCGGAGGCGCGGCGCTCCTCGCGCCCCCCCCGCGGGCGGCGCGGGGCTGCCGCCCGGGCCGGCCTGGAGCGCCCGGCCCCGGGGCGGCCGGAGGGGGGCGGGGCCTCGAAGCTCGGGGGCGGCAAAGAGGGGGGTGATGGCTAGGGGGGGGTGGATATCATATGGCGCGGGCCATGATGTTTCCCCAGACTTCATGGCGCCTCTTCTTGTTTCATTGCGTCCCTGGCCCCCCCGCTGGGCCGCGCACATGCCGCCGGTCATGATTTGCACCCCCCCTCTTGGCCGCTCCCGAGAAGCAGAAGAGGACGGCACCGGCACAAAGGGTTGGAGCTCCGCGCGGAAGTCTCGGGTCGGCGCTGGGCCCCGGCCCCCCAGCAGGAGCTCGCGAGCACGGAGGTTCCGTGGCGCTGCCTCCGCCCCCGCCTCCTCACCGGGAACGGCATGACATACGTTTTCGAAGGTGCGCACGGATCTGTTTGATCTGCGCTGGGTTCCTTTGGCGGCGCCTCCGGCGCCGCCCCTGGCACGCTCCGCGCGCCAGGGAGGGGGGGTCCTGCGCCGATCCAAGAAATCCACGCGGACCTCCGAAAGCTACTGTCGATGCCGTTTTTTCTCTAGAATCGGAAGCGTTGGTGCAGGCGGCTCGTCGACAAGATGAATTCTGCAGTTACAATGAATGTTGCTTGGTAGACAGGAAGCGTCGAGCAAGATCCGCATGTTTGAATGAGCGGTTGAGAGCGATAGAGCTGGATCAATTATGTCTGCTCTGCCTACCAAAGGTGTCAGGAATTCGCGATGGCATCCCGGCGGATTTTCGACAAGCGGGAGCCACACTCCTGAATAAATCGAAGGGTAGTCTCCAGTGGAAACCGCTCCCCCTCCCCCAACCCAGACCCTCACTGTTGCCAAAGTGCCAGCGCCTGAGCCCGAGCGGGCATCTAAGACATTGTTAAAGCACATGCGAAGAACACGTGGTCCAAATAACGGGGGAATCCGAATGGGATGACATGCGTGGAGCCCACCAGTACACAAAAACGCACGCAGTGTTTTCACATCTCTCAACGGATTAGGTGTCCAAGCCCTGACCGTCGGGCCCTTCCAGGGACCTCTCGCTCGCTCGCTGGAGTCGCTTGTAGCTTGCTGACATCGCCGATCGAGCAAATCCGCGCGGACCTCCGAAAGTTTGCTGTGAAGGCCTTACGGCCGGTGCCGACCCTGCAGGGGGACGACGACGACAATGGCGGCGGCGGCGACAACGACGACGTTGACGTGGGCCAGAGGCCTGGGGGTGCTTCTCGGGGTCTCTTCGGAAGACTCTCGGGGGCCTGTGGGGAGGAGTTTCGGGGCCTCCTGGGAGCCTCTTGGGGGCCTCTTGGGAGCCTCTTGGGTGGGCAGTCTGTCATTCTCCTGCACTTGGCATGAGGACTAGCCGGACAGGCATTCCCACGAAGGTTGCCATCAGAGGGCCATACTTCCAACCAGGAGACGAAGAAAGGTACAGACACAAATACACGCTGATCTCCCGGTGGATATGGGAAACTGCGGGGCATGACAGAGAAGACGAAAATCCCACGGAGGTTGTACACAATTCGGACTCCTCCTCCTCCTCCTCCTCCTCCTCCTCCTCCTCCTCCTCCTCCTCCTCCTCCTCCTCCTCCTCCTCCTCCTCCTCCTCCTCCTCCTCCTCCTGTGTGTGTGTGTGTCTCCCTGGCCCCCGTCTGCCCCCCGTGCGCGCGCCGCGGCCGCCTGCCCTGGCGTTCGCGGCTCTCTCTCTCTCTCTCTCTCTCTCTTGCCCGCTGCTTCGCCTCCTCACCCCGGGTTTCCGCTTTCGCGCCGCCGTCCCGGCCAGACGCCAAGTGTCGAAAGCAACCCTCTAGGTGTCAGTTACGATCTCTCGGGATTAGAAGGAGGAGGGGAGAGGAGGAAGAAGAAGAAGAAGAAGAAGGAGAAGGAGGAGGCGAAGGAGGAGGGGGAGTGGGGGAGAAGGAGAAGTTTCGAGAAGTGATTCTGAGCCGCCTTCTGCTCTCGTCGCTTGCCGCGCTGCGCCTCCACTTCCTGGGCTCGCCGCCCCTTCCCGGGTAGGCCGATGGCTGGGCGACCCCCCACGTGGGTCCCGCGCGCTCTGGGCGGCCCCCCGCGCACGCGCGCCAGCCCCGTCGGTGACTTTCTCCGCCTCGACGCTGCGCCCGGGGGCCCTGCATCCCAGAAAGTCTTGTCCGGCTCCCTGGCTCGAGGCTGGCTCCGTCGCCCTGCGCCGCGCTGGGGGCCGCCCCCGTTGCGAGGCACCCTGGGATGGAACCGGGCCAGCCGACGGACACGCCGATGCCGCGCGAGCTTCTCGTCGGACAGCAGGTGGGCGACGGAGGAAAACGGGATCGACTGCGTTCGCTCCTGATCCAATCGTTACTTATCCGAGTGGCGCTCCACCAGCTTCCAGGCCTTGAACTCCTAATTTCACGGATCCTTATCCGACGCCTTCGCCGTAATAGAAGGTGACGGAGATCCGCGCGGATCTGTTTGATCTGCGCTGGACCCCCCCTGGCGGCGCCTCCAGCGCCGCCCCTGGCTCGCTCCGCGCGCCAGGGAGGGGCGGCCCAGCGCAGATCCAAGAAGTCCGCGCGGGCCTCCGAAAGTCTTGTGCTTGTGCAGCTGGGGCCCAAGGAAAGCGGGGCTGCTTGCCGACATTCGCGCTCAAGCGCCCTCGTCTCCACACGGCGTGCCATCCTGGCGGCCCGCGTAAGTTGCGGCGCAGGGTCGCCGTGTTTTCTCGCGTCGGGCACGCTTCGAGTCCTCGCTCAGGTGGTCGTTCCTGGCCGAGGTACTGGGACGCTTGCGGTGGAGAACGGCTCGGGCGGTCGGCAACGTGAGGGCAGCGAACGTGGGCGAATCGAGGATTGCTAGAAAGGAGCCCTAAGGAGATTCTCTAGGACCCCGACAGGGGCCCCTGGGGCTTCAAAACGAGCACCTCAGGGACCCAAAAACGTTCGTTTCTTCACCCCACGTTGACTGCCCTTCCGTTACAGGCCTCCCGAATGGCGATGGCACATGGAACGTCGACTTCGACGACTCAACAGAGGGAAATGTTCCTCGTGAGTGTGTTCAGGTCCCAGATCCAGCTCGACATGCATGGAGGGTCATCACCGACCCGCGGTCAGAGCCCAAAATTGATGGTTGGACAAGATTCGTTTGCTTCAGCGACACGCACGGAAAGCACAGGTCAATCCCGTCATCGCACATCGTGGAAGGCGACGTGTTGCTGCACGCGGGTGACTTCTCGAACACAGGGGAGCCACAGCAGGTCAAAGACCTGGCGGAGTGGCTGGCGCAGTACCCAGCGGCACACAAAGTGGTCATTGCAGGAAACCACGATGTGACTTTTCACGCGGACTATTACAAGCGTGCCTGGGAGCGTTACCACAGGGTTCAGGAAGACGTTGAGGCAACTCGAGCGCTGCTGACAGGACCGTCCTCGCCGTGCATCTACCTGGAGGACGCCGCCACGGACGTGTTGGGGTACCAGATCTACGGGTCCCCCTGGCAGCCCGAGTTCTGCGACTGGGCATTCAACCTTGAACCCGGCGAGCTTGCGCCCAAGTGGGCGCAGATCCCCAGGGACGTCGACATTCTGATGACGCATGGGCCCCCGCTGGGTATCGGGGACAAGACCTTCCTCGGCAAGCGGGCCGGCTGCGATCACCTGCTCAGCGCAGTCCGCCAGCGGCCCGTGACCGTCCACGTGGCAGGCCACATCCACGAGGGTTACGGCACAGTGGCGGACGGCGACGTCCTCTTCGTCAACGCCTCCACGTGCACCCTCAAGTACAAGCCGATGAACAAGCCCGTCGTGTTCGACCTGCCCCCGGCTGCGGAGCTGCGCCGCGCGCGGCGGCCGCCCGCCGCGCCGGCGGGGGCGGCCGCGGCCCCCCAGCCGGAGCCCGTGAGCATGGAGTTTCCGTGAGGCTTCCTCCGCCTCGACCTCGCGTCGAAGAAGGAACATCTGCACACTCGGGGGCGGAAAAGAGGGGGGTGATGACTAGGGGGGGGTGGATATCATGGCGGGGGCCATGATGTTTCCCCAGATCTCGTGGCGCCTCTTCTTATTTCATTACGTCCCTGGCCCCCCCGCTGGGCCGCGCACATGCCGCCGGTCATGATTTGCACCCCCCCCTCTTGGACACCCCCCTCTTGGCCGCTCCCGACATAGGGTGAACCAGCATAGCAAGGACGAGCGACTTTCCAGGGTTGCCCTTGCATCCTTCCCCGTCGGCCCACTCTTGGCCGCTTTCGCTGGCCGCGCCCCGCTCGCAAGGTGTCGACATGGCCCTTCAGGGCCCTTGCATACTTATCGTGGGTCCTTATGATACAGGTAGGCTGTACGGTAGGCTCGCGTCGTGTCGTCCTGCGGCGACCCCGCCGCACGCGTTCAACGCTAAGGAATATGCCCAGGAGGCTTCAGACCTTGGGGGATTCCTTGCCTGGTGAGGGCGGCAGTGATATCCACGGCCGAGCCTCAATTGGCGCTCCACCAGCTCCCAGAGTCCTTGGATTCCTGGTCCAATCGTTCCTTATCCAATGCCCACACCGTGTAACAGAAGTTGTCGGAGGTCCGCCTCGGATTCTGCGCTGGACCCCCCCCGTGGCGGCGCCTCCGGCGCCGCCCCTGGCGCGCTCCGAGCACGCCAGGGACAGGGGGCCCCCGCGCCGATCCTGGAAGGCCGCGCGGACAAAGCCTGTGCTCGCATAGTCGGCGGTGCGCGAGCAGGGGCCACGTGAGAAGGAGAGGGCCTTCTCAGAGGGCGGCGGGGCTTCTCGGGAGCCCTCCGGCCTTGTGACAGGTCTTCTGCGCCCCCGGGCAAGGCTCAGCAGAAGACTTCTCCGAAGGCCGGGGCACTTCCGAGCCTTCTGAGAGGGCCCGCCCCTTCTTACCTCCCCCCCGGCGCTGGCCGCCGGTGTCGGAAGCAGGAGCATATGCATTACCAGTGGCGGGCTGTTTCTCAATCGCAGGACTTTTTGAGGGTCGGGGACGATGTCGGGGTGGTGTGGTGTATACTTATGTTCCCCGCTTTCCCGGGGAAACAACAGAAAATGTACACACCAGGATCCCGTATACACCAGGATCCGCTTTCCTCTGCGAGTATCAGTGCGGGGCCGAGACAAGCGTCGGTGCATAGCGTTCGGCTCCTTACGATGTGCAGTTGTTGTCTTCTTCTTTCGGGGGAACGTAAGACTCGAATTAGCTGGAACTCGGTTTTGCCGACGCTTTTTGACGAGGGCGTCCTGAATTTTGACGGTCTGGTGTTCGTGGGATGCTTGCATCGGGAGCTCGCGTCAAACTTCAGATCGGGTCCCGTCATTTCCATGATGACCCCGTCAGTAGGGGGCCACATGTGAACCCTACCCCTACCCCCCACGATATCCGAGGGGGAGGGTGGGGTTCACTTCGTTCGGGAGCTCCCGAACCAAGTGAACCCCACCCTCCCCCTCTGAAATCGTGGGGGGTAGGGGTAGGGTTCACATGTGGCCCCCTGGTCAGGGCAACCCGAGTCCCCCGAACCCGAGGCTCACGTCTCCCCGATCCTTCTGCCGCAGCCCCGCCCTCCACGGGCCCGCGACGCGCCCTGGCCCACCTCTTGAGAGCCGCCCGGGTCGAGGCTGCCGCCCGCCGGCCCGCCCTGGCACAGTCGGGCGGGCGCGGGGGGCGCCCACTCGCGGCGGAAGAACGCGGCTGTGCTCCGGTCGGCGGGAGGCGGGAGTGTGGAGGAAGGGGGAAGGAAGGAGGAGGGTGAAGAGAAGCTGGAAGGAGGGGGGAGGGGGAGGAGGAGGAGGAGGAGAGGAGGAGGAGGAGAGGAGGATGAGGAGGAGCAGGACGAGGAGGAGGAGGGAAGAGGGAGGAGGAGAGTGAGTTCGAGGATGGGAGAGGAGGAGGAGGAGAGGAGGAGAGAGGAGGAGGAGTGAGGTAGGAGGACGGAGGAGGAGTGGAGGAGGAGGAGTGGGGAAAGGGAGGGAGGAAAGGGAGGAGGAAGGGGGGAGGAGGATGAAGAGAAGGAGGAGGGAGGCCACATGGGGGGGGGGGGGACAGCCGACCCTCGGCCCCCGAGCGGTGATTGGACCTGCGCGCGGCTTTCGACCACGGGGCGCCGCGCGCAGGTCAGATCACCGATTGGGGGGTCGGGGTCGTCCTTGGGAGGGCACCCAGGGGCGGTTGCCTCCACCCAGCGGCTGTGGTTGGGGGAGGAGGGAGGAAGGAGGAGGGAGGAGGGAGGAGGGTCTCTTCTGCGGCTCCCGAGCGCCCAGACCACTGGCGTCCTGGTTTCTTCCAGGACGTACACCCTCTGCGGTCTGGAGCTGCTCCCCGGGACCGGTGTTTCCTCCCCGGTCGGCTTCTGAAGGTCTTGGGGCCCGGCGGGGGCCCCCGGAGGCCGAAAGCGGCCGAGAACCTCCCGCCACGAGTCCTCACGACGCGAGCATGTCCTTGGCATCGCTCGGGCGTGTGCGTTTTCTCCTCGGCGGGGACCATCGAGGAGCATTCTTGATCATTTGGCGAAAAAACCACGCACGAAACCGAAAAAAGCACAGGGAATGGACGTCCGAGCGATGGCGAGAAGTCGCATCCGGGGCAACGTGGGGGTGGGCTGTAGAGGGCCCGACGAGGACGAGCAGTTTTCGGGCTATGTGCGTTCAGGGGTGTTCATTTTGCCCACTTCCCCCGAGCAAGCGAATCCCACCTCGAGCGTGGGCTCCGACAGGCGGCCGCCATGATGTGGGGCGAGTACATCCAGCACTACTGCCCACCCCAAGAAGCGCCCCAAGCAGAGGAGGCGCAACCCCCCATGGTGGGGGGGAAGATGGAGGAGTACAGTGGGGGCCCATGCCAAGAAACACCCTGCTTGCCTCCAGGGTGCCCTGGGTTTCTTGGGTTTCGATGGGCTTGCCATGGCAAGCATGGCGCTCCCATGCCAAAAATCCATGGACCTCCTGGGGTCTTAGGATTGGGTTTCTTGTGGAAGGTTTCTTGTGGTCGGGCCCCTACTGTAAGTGTCCTGACTGTGCCTGCAGATCGGATGTTCGTTGTGTGTGCTGTTTGGCGACGGCCCTGTCGTGAAAATCGGGTACAGGTCCTGGTGTGGGGCACTCTCTAGTGCCATGCGACATAACCAAGGTTGGTGCCGCAGATGGGTTCGTTGAACAGGCGAGGCGATCAGCTTGCGCGGGGCAGCCTTTTTGCCGCCCGCACCTGAGCACTTGTACAACGTGGGAAGCCATTGATGCAGAAGCACGTTCGGTAAAGATAGAGATCGGGACGAGGGGGCGGCCACCGCATTCATTTCGCAGCTGTCTTCTCGGCGCTTACACTTGCGATTTCGGTGAACGAAACCTCCTCCGCCAATCCTCCACGTCGTGAAAAATCACCATGAACGTCGCAAAAGAAAGCGCACGACCAGAGCCCTCGACACCATCTTCCTGTGGCCTTTCTCGATCTGGATCGATCCGCTCGGGCCCGCAGGCATGACACCGGGGCCGAGATGCCCGTCACGATTCCTCGCGGCGCCCGAATCTGGCGCGCCCCCTTCGCCCCTCAGCCATGCCCCTGGGTGCGGTCAAAGCTGATGGGGTCGCAGGATCGCGCCGCCTCGCCGACGCATGGACCCAGACATCCGGCGTCCCGATTTCTTCGAGACTCTGGCCCCCGACCTCTCGACGACTACTTTCCCAGAACCGGTTTCGTGTCCCGAGTCGTTTTTTGCTGGCCCCGAGGCCCGTTGAGGGTCTAGGCCTCGCTCCGGCGTGTGCATGTTTTCTCCGGCGAGGACCATCGAGGAGCATCCTTGATCGTTTGGCGAAAAAACCACGCACGAACCCGAAAAAAACACAGGGAATGGACGTCCGAGCGATGGCCCAGGGGTCCCCGAAGGCCTCCGCCTCGATTCTTCCGAGAGTCGCCGGGACGTCTGGGGAGACGTTGCGGCGCGATGCAGAGCTCGACAGTCACCCCCCCGACGTCTCTCCTGTGCACAGCTGCCTCGACACGCCCGCTTCGATATACGCAGCACGTACCGTGCTGTCAAAACGCCCGTGTGAGCACGCCCGTTCTCATCCTCCTCCTCCTGATGCTCCTCGTGCTGCTCCCCCTCGCCCTCTCCCCCCTCCCTCCTTCTAGCTCTCTTTCGTTCTCTCTCTCTCTCTCTCTCTCCCTCTCTCTCTCTCTCTCTCTTTCTCTCCCTCTATCCTCCACGTGGTGGTCCACGCTTTGGCGAGCGCATCGCGTCAGGCCCTCGGTTTTCCAGTCTATACGTGCGGAGCGCCGTGTCAACGCGCGACGTGCTGCGCGTGGCGCATCGGGGCAGCGGAGCTGCCGTGGTGCGTCGTCGGTGCTTCGGCGACGTGGCGCGGTCCTCCGACCCGCCCGCTCCCCGTGCTGGCCCCCCTGCTTCGGGGGAGGCCGCTGCTTCTGGAGGCGAGGCCCCCCCCCGAGGAGAGGTCCCCCCTCCGGAGGTCCGGCCAGCCTCTCGGCGGCCCCCGGAGGCACCCCGGAGCTCCGGAGGACTCCGGAGGGCCAGGGCGCCCTCGAGGGCGCGAAGCTATTCTCGCGCTGCGCGCTTCGGCTCCGATTCCTCATCCTCCTCTTCCCCCCGGAGGTCCCCCAGAGCTCCAGAGGACTCCGGAGGGCAAGGGCGCCCTCGAGGGCGCGAAGTTTCTCGCGCTTCGCGCTTCAGCTCCAATTCCTCCTCATCCTCCTCATTCTCATCTTCATCCCCCAGAGCTCCAGAGGACTCAGTGCAGCAAGGGCGCCCTCCAGGGCGCGAAGGTCTTCGCGCTTCGCGCTTCGGCTCCGATTCATCCTGAGCCTCCTCTTCTCCACTTGGGGGCAGCGCAAGAGCGCGAAATGAGGCGCGGGGGGCACACGAGAGGGAGGAGGAGGAGGAGGAGGAGGAGGAGGAGGAGGAGGAGGAGGAGGAGGAGGAGGAGGAGGAGGAGTGAGAGGAGGAGGAGGAGGAGGCGGAGGAGGAGGAGAGGGAGGAGGAGGGAGGAGGAAGAGGAGCGGGAGGGGGAGGAGGAGGAGGAGGAGAGAGGAGAGAGAGGGAGAGGAGAGGAGGGAGGGAGGAGGAGGAGGAGGAGGAGGGAGGGAGGCCCCCTGCGGCCCCGCTCCCACGAGAGGAGGAGGGAGGGAAGAGCTGAGGCAAGCCAGGTGCGCTCGCGCCTGATCTGGCATCCTGCACATGCCCACCCATGCAGATCCCTGGTGCTGACCTTGACAGATTGGGCGTTCCAACAAGGGCCTCGTCTTCGAGGATCGAAGAAGTTGACATCTCTTCCTCGGCGGAAGGCGGCGGAGGTGAAACGAGGCCGTCTCCGCCGGCGGAAGCCGGCGGAAGGGCGGTGGAAGGTGGAGAAAGTACAAGTCTGCCTCCCAAGAGGTAACAATAGTTTTGGGTTCAGGGTTTCCGGAATCAGCCATATACATACATATACACATACATAATTACAGGCATGCCGGCTTACATACATTCATACATACATACATACATACATACATACATACATACATACATACATACATCTATACATATATACATACATACATATATACATACATACATACATACATACATACATACATACATACATACATACATACATACACATACATACATACATACATACATACATACATACATATATACATACATGTATACCTACATATAGACATACATACATACATGCATACATACATACATGCATGCATACATACACACATACATACATGTATACATACATACGCACATGCGCACATGCATGCATGCATGCATACATACCTACATACATGCACGCATACATGCATGCATACATACATTCATACGTACATGCACATGCATGCATGTATACATACCTGCACACATGCCTACGTACCAACATACCTACATACCTATAGACATACATACAGACATACATACATACATGCATGTATGCATGCATGCATGCATGCATACACATATACATACATGCATGCATGCATACATGGATGCATGCATGCATGTATGCATATGTGCATACATGCATACATGCATACATGCATACAGGCATACAGACATCCATACATGCGTGCGTGCATATATGTATACATGTATACATGCATACATGCAGACTTGCATACTTGCATACATGCATACATGCATACATGCATACGTACGTACGTGCACACGTACATACATACACATATACATATACATATACATATACATATACAGATGATTCCTCAGGGCCTGGTAGTCGCAAGACACACACTGTACACGCGGAGCAGCGCTACGGCTAGGTAGAAGCTCGGCCCACGACCGTTCCAAAGCTGTTGCAGGGCAGCGCCTTTGGCTATGACGTAGGATCGGCCGCTGCGTTGAGCGGCTCGGCGAAGCTCTCTGTCGGCCTTGTCGAGGCTCGCCACCGTAGCTGGTGGAAGTCGCCGGCAGCGCCGGAAGACCCAATCCTTGCATCGAGGGCGGCGCCTGTCTGGCAGGTGTGCAAAACAGTGGACGCGCTGTACCAAGTCGGTCTGGCAGCAGGGACAGACGGCGGAGGCGACGATTCGCGGATGACATTCCGCTTGAGGTGTTTCACTTTCGAATGAGACTCAAGCGCGCACGAAGACGCGAATGCGCAATCACAGTCAGGACAGGGCGCACGGCGCCAGAGCCAGATGCATCCTTCTGGCAGTCGGAGACAGATTCGTCGAAGAAAAGTGCGTCAAGCATGCTGCTCCACGCATTTGGCTGCGACATTTTGTCGTGCCAGACCTGCGGGGCCGCAGAAAGGGAGGGCCACTGCCCAGTCGCAAGGACGTTTAAAAGCACATCGACATCCCTGGCCAGCTGGGCAACCCATGGCAGGCGGCCGGAGAATCGCCACCGACGCGAAGATGAAGGAAAGCCAAAAGCTCAGCCGGACGATCGCGGCACACCCGTGCCGCGAAAGCAAGCTGGGCGCGCACGATGAGGCAGGCGGGCGTCATGGTAAACCTGGAACCCCCCAAAACGACTCCATCGCGTTGTGCGCAAGCAAAATGGGGAGGATTCTCGGATGCTCGGTTGGCCACGCGCGCACCCCGAGAGGGCGCGAGGTCCAGGCAGAGGGGGTAAGCAGGCGGCCACAGACGACGGCGACGATCAAAGACGACGGCGAGGACGACGACGACGACGGACGAACGAGCGCAGCGACGCAAAGACAGCAAAAAGGGGGACTGCGCACACTGGAGACAGCAGGAGAGGAGTGGCCCCCATGTGTTGGGGGGGGGGGAGGGGCGCTCCACCTGCCGCGCCGCAGGATGAGCCCAAGTTGACCCTCGGGGCGGCGGCGGTTGCGCAGCCGGCGCAGGACGGCGTGCTGGGCATGCCCACGTGGGTCATGGTCGCCACCCAGAGGGCTGCCGCCACACTTCCCTAAGCCGGGCGCGGGAGGAGGACAGGAGGGCCCAGAGCCCATGCACAGGGAGCCTCCCGACAGTGTCAGGAGGCACTTTTCTTCGAGCCCCGATCTCTTCCTCGGCTGCCGAAGCTGTTGCTCTGGACGGGGCTGCCCGGGCAGTGCTGGGGCCATCACGAAGGCCAGTGCCAGCCGGCCGTCCTCACTCGGATGTGGGCCTGGCGGAAGGAGGAGAAGCCGAGGGCGGAACTTGTTGCGCCTGTTCCGCACTGCCGGGGGTCTGGAGGCCCGTTTCGGGCCCCCGGGGCTGTCAAGGAACCGCTCCTCACTCGGATGTGGGCCTGGCGGAAGGAAGAGAGAAGCCGAGGGCGGAACTTGCTGCGCTTGTTGCGCACTGCCGGGGGGTCCGGAGGCCCGTTTCGGGCCCCCGGGGGCTGTCAAGGAACCGCCCGGGGTGAAGAGCACGTCCCCGGGGAAGGAGTCGCGAGGTCTGGAGGCCCACCTCGCGGAATACCCGCGGCGTCGAGAGGTGAGGGGGGGGAGAGAGAGAGAGAGAGAGAGAGAGAGAGAGAGAGAGAGAAAAAAAAAAAGAGAGAGAGAGAGAGAGATCATTGTGGTGTCCTCGCCTTCGGGGGGGGGCCTCCTCGAGGGCCCTCGTCTCCGCAGCTGGATCCGCCGCGAAGTCTTGGGCAGGACACACTCCAGGAGAAGTCCTGATGTTGACTTTGAAGGAGGAGGCGGGGAGGGAGGGATCGAGCGAAGGGGGGGAGGAGAAGGAGGAGGAGGAGGAGGAGGAGGAGGAGAAGAAGGAAGAGGAGGAGGAAGAGGAGGAGGAAGAGGAGGACGAAGAGGAGGCCGACGACGATGACGACGACGAGGGCGACGAGGGCGACGAGGACGAGGACGAGGACGAGGAGGAGGAGGACGAGGAGGACGAGGACGAGGACGAGGAGGAGGAGGAGGACGAGGACGATGAGGAGGAGGAGGAGGCAGGAGGAAGGAGAAGCAGGAGCAGGAGCGGGGGGGAAGACCTAAGCACCCTCCATCCTCAACCTGGGGAGCCAGGTGAGGGAAGGGCCGCCGTGGGTGCGACAGGCGCCGGAGCAAGCGGCTGGCGGCTGCTGTCTGGAGCTGGTAAAGCTTCGGGTTGCGGACAGACCCCCCGAGATCCTGGCGTCTGCATTCTTCCGAGCCGAGCGTTTTCGCTTTTCTGTTCGGGCACCGGGACCCTCACAGGTCGATGCGGCTCGAAAAAGGACGCGGCAAGGGTCTACTTCGGGTTCCGGATGTGTGTTTTTGTCGATGTTGCAACGTTTACAGCGACGTCGGATCTCGGGGAAGGCTTTGGGCTGTGGACGGACATCCCCCCCTCAGTCAGTCCCAGCTGGCCTCAGCAGGCCCCCCGAGTACGTGGTCCGGGGCGGTCTCAGCACCCCGGCGCCGCCCCTGGGGCGCTCCGCGCCCGAGGGTTGTGGTGTTGAGACCGCCCCGGGCTTTCTTCGGAGCGCTTGGTGAGGCCAGCCGGGACTACTCGGGGGGGACTGTGGAAGCCAGCCGGGGCTGCTCGGGGGGCCTGGTGATGCCAGCTGGGGCAATATGTGGGGGGGGCTGCCTGTCCGCAACCCGAAGCTTTGCCGTGCGGAGCACGTCGAAGGCAAAAGATGCTTGCTTGCCCACCGAAGATAAGCTTGCTTGCCCACTGGAGGCAACAATCTTTTGAAGTCCACATATATTGCATTATGGGTCTCACTGTCGCCACTGAAGGCGAGAAAGTTTTACCTTCACGGAGATTTGCCCATGCTTGAGTGGAGGTCTTTGATCTCACGCCTATCGCCCTCAGGGGCATCACGGTCCAGATCGTTTGCTTTGCGTGTCGTTCCGCCAGTTTTGGTACACCATGGCTCGACGCGACACGCTAACCACTTCTGGTCCCCACGCAGCAGTGTCCCTGGCTCTTCCCGGCCTCCCGCCCCGCGGAGCGGAGCGGCGCACTATCCGCTTGCAGAGCATAGCGTGTCGCCAGGGCCGCCGCCGCGACACGCTGAGCAAAAGTTCCCAGCCGTACGGGCTCTGCGCACATGCGAGGCGGAGCATCCCTGGAAGGATCCGACGGGTCCGCGCGGATACTCCTCGGACTGGCCGCGTGCCTTGTCCTGTGCATCTACACGATGTCTCAACAGGGTGCCGGCGGATCTGGCTCCGATGGGCAGCGGAGGGGCCCCACGGCACGGGAGGATGGGGAGAAGGACGGGCGCAGGGAGAGAGGGATGGAGGAAGGAAGGGAGGGAGTTCGGGAGGGAGACGGGAGGTGGTGGGGGCCACGAGGGGCTGCAACGGCGAAGGGCAGCGACGGGGCCACGAAGGGCTGCAACGGGGCCGCGAAGGGCAGCGAGGGGGGCCACGAAGGGGTGCAACGGGGCCACAAAACAAAGCGAGGGGGCCACGAAGTGGTTCAACGAGGCCACGAAGGGCAGCGAGGGGGCCACGAAGGGGTGCAACGGGGCCACGAAGGGCAGCGAGGGGGCCGCGAAGGGCTGCAAGTTAGGCCACGAAGGACAGCGAGGGGGCCGCGACGGGCTGCAACGGGGCCACAAAACAAAGCGAGGGGGCCACGAAGGGCTGCAACGGGGCCACGAAGGACAGCGAGGGGGCCGCGAAGGGGCGCAACGGGGCCACGAAGGACAGCGAGGGGGCCGCGAAGGGGCGCAACGGGGCCACGAAGGGCAGCGAGGGGGCCACGAAGGGCTGCAACGGGACCACGAAACAAAGCGAGGGGGCCACGAAGGATCGCAACGGGGCCACGGAGGGCAGCGAGGGGGCCACGAAGCCTGCAAGGGGGCCACGAAGCAAAGCGAGGGGGGCACGAAGGGCGCAACGGGGGCACAATGGGCGCGAGGCAGGGGCCACGAAGGGCATACAAGGATACTGGGCCCGAAGGCGCGAGGGGGCCACGAAGGAAGCAACGGGGCCACGGAGGGCAGCGAGGGGGCCACGAAGGGCTGCAAGGGGGCCACGAAGCAGCGAGGGGGGCACAATGGGCAGCGAGGGGGCCACGACGGGCTGCAACGGGGCCACGAGGGGCAGCGAGGGGGCCTCGAAGGGCTGCAACTAGACCACGAAGGGCAGCGAGGGGGCCACGACGGGCTGCAACGGGGCCACGAAATAAAGCGAGGTGGCCACGAAGGGCTGCAACGGGGCCACGAAGGGCAGCGATGGGGCCACGAAGGGCTGCAACGGGGCCACGAAGGGCAGCGAGGGGGCCGCGAAGGGGTGCAACGGGGCCACGAAGGGCAGCGAGGGGGCCACGAAGGGCTGCAACGGGGGCACAATGGGCAGCGAGGGGGCCACGAGGTGATGCAACGGGGCCACGAAGCAAAGCGAGGGGGGCACGAAGGGCTGCAAATAGGCCACGAAACAAAGCGAGGGGGCCACGACGTGCTGCAAGGGGGCCACGAAACAAAGCGAGGGGGCCGCGAAGGGCTGCAACGGGGGCACACAGGGCAGCGAGGGGGCCACGAGGGGCTGCAACGGGGCCACGAAACAAAGCGAGGGGGCCACGAAGGGCTGCAAGGGGGCCACGAAGGACAGCGAGGGGGCCGCGAAGGGGTGCAACGGGGCCACGAAGGGCAGAGAGGGGGCCACGAAGGGCTGCAACGGGACCACGAAGGGCAGCGAGGGGGCCACGAGGGGCTGTAACGGGTCCACGAAGGGCAGCGTGGGGGCCACGAAGGTCTGCAATGGGGCCACGAAGGGCAGCGAGGGGGCCACGAAGGGTTGCAACGGGTCCACGAAAGGCAGCGAGGAGGCCACGAAGGTCTGCAACGGGGCCACGAAGGGCAGCGAGATCCCGACTTCTAAGTTATCTGCGAGGGAGTCCTAAGCGCGAGCGCGACTCCAGGGCTCTTGAGCGTCGGGAGCGCGGCGCTTGAGTAAATTGCGGGAAATTTCAACGCAAGGGTGTTATTTTTGAGTAAATTGCAAGCAAGTCTCCAGCGATAGCGCGACTCCAGAACGCCGAGAGAGCGATTCCTGAATAAATTGTAAGGAAGTCCACGCGAGAGCGCGATTCCAGAATGAAATGCGAGGAAGTCTCGCGCGGGAGCGGGGGTCCTTGCTAGATTGTGAGGATGTCTCAGGCGGGAGCCGTTGTTCTTGCAACCCGGGGGCCAACAACGCAGTTTGAGGATGATGATTTTTTTTTCATAGAAAAGCCAGGGTGCGGGCGCCGGGAGGGGCACTTCAATTGAAAAATACCATGTGCACCGGAGGGGGAATCAACAAAACATATTTTTCAGTTGTGAGAGTTCAACAATCATTTTGAGATTGTTCGCTCTTATCTGCTCGAGTGTCCGTTAACGCGAATTTCCCAAGCCTTCGATACCCGCCCTCTTCGTATTCGATCGTGCCCCTTTTGGAGGGTATACTTTTCTTCCCTGCAGGCCGGGCCCCGGCAAGCGGCGGGGCGGTCGCGGACCGTCGGCCTGGCCAGCGGCAGCGCTGATCGGCGGCAACCCGACCCCAAGAGGGACGGACAGGGGACCGACCACGACGAGGACGACGACGACGACGACGACGACGAGCGAAAGCGAGAGCGAGAGAAAGAACGGCAGCAGGGCCACGAAGGGCACGAAGTAGGCCAGGAAGGGCGACACCGGGGACACGAAGGGAATGCGTATGGGGCCACGAAGAGCGCGAACGAGCGGAGGCCACGAAGGGCAGATAATGCTGAACCACAGAAGGCAACGACGGGGCCACTGAGGGTAGCAACTGGGCCACGTAGGACACCGAGGGGGCCACAAAGGGCGACAGCGGGGCCGCGAAGGGCATGCACGTGGGGCCACGACGGGCGCGAACGAGCGGGGGCCACGAAGGGCATAGAATATTGGGCCGCGGAGTGCAAAGAATGGGCCACTGAGGGCAGCAACGGGGCCACGAAGGGCATACATATATGGGGCCCCGAAGGGCAGCGATGGGGCCTCGAAAGGCTGCAACGGGGCCACGATGGGCAGCGAGGGGGCCACGGGGGCACGAAGAGTAGCGAGGCGGCCACGAGGGGGTGCAACGGGGCCACGAAACAAAGCGAGGGGGCCACGAATGGCTGCAACGGGGCCACGAAGGGCAGCGAGGGGGCCACGAAGGGCTGAAACGGGGCAACAGAACAAAGCGAGGGGGCCACGAAGGGTTGCAACGGGGCCACGAAGGGCAGCAAGGGGGCCACGACGGGGGCTGCAACGGGGCCACGAAACAAAGCGAGGGGGCCACGACGGGGGCTGCAACGGGGCCACGAAGGGCAGCGAGGGGGCCACGAAGGGCTGCAACGGGGCCACGAAAGGCAGCGAGGGGGCCACGAAGGGCTGCAACGGGTCCACGAAGGGCAGCGAAGAGGCCACGAAGGTCTGCAACGGGGCCACGAAGGCCAGCGAGGTCCCGATTCTCAAGTAATCTGCAAGAGAGAGTCCTAAGCGAGAGCGCGACTCCTGGGTGCCTGAGCGTCGGGAGTGCGACGTTTGAGTAAATTGCGGGAAATTCCAACGCAAGGGCGCTTGAGTAAATTGCAAGCAAGCCTCCAGCGAGAGCGCGACTCCACAACGCCGAGAGAGCGATTCCTGAATATATTGTAAGGAAGTCCCAAGCGAGAACGCGATTCCTAAATAAAATGCGAGGAAGTCCTGCGCGGGAGCGGGAGTTCTGGTAAAATTGTAAGGAACTTTCAGGCGGGAGCCGTTGTTGTTGTAACCCGGGGGCCAACAACGCAGTTTGAGGATGATGATTTTCCCTCACGATAAACAGGGTGCGAGCGCCGGGAGGGGCATTTCAATTGAAAAATACAATGTGCACCGGAGGAGGGGGGGGTTAACCATAATTATTTTCGGTAGTGAGAGTTCAAGAACAAGAACAACAACAACAACAACAGCAGCAGCAGCAACAACAGCAGCAGCAGCAGCAACAGCAACAGCAACAATATCAACAACGCAACAGAAATAATCTTCACCACGGACCCCCACTTCAGCCACGCACCCAGGGACAATGAATGACTGTTCGCCCCTTCCTCTCTCTGACATGTGTGTAAACATATATATATATATATATATATATATATATATATAATATATATATATATCGCCAGGCACAGACATACATACATACATATGTACATACATATATACAGACATACAGACATACAGACATGCATACATACAGGCATACAGGCATACATGCATACATACATACATGCGTACATACATACATACATACATACATACATACATACATACATACATACATACATACATACACACATACATACATACATACATACAGACAGACAGACAGACAGACAGACAGACAGACATATATACATACAGACCTACACACATACAAACAAACAAGCACACATATATGCATACATGCATACATGCATGCATACATGCATACATGCATACATGCATGCATACATGCATGCAGACATACATATACAGATCGGTGTATACCGCATAAACAATATGTTTCGAAACGTTCATGTAAACATATATGTAACAATAAACCTCGAGACAGTGGTGCTCTACTGGCGTGGGAATCGAGTTGCAGTTGCTCACGATGTTGGCGAATACGAATAATGTTACAGCTACGGTGCCAGCAAAAAAGATCGCCATGATGTACGTATGCTTCATTGCTGCGTACTTAACCTACCCCGGCACCATACCACAAAACACAGTGTTGATTAGATGATGGTTCGTCCATCTACGTTTTGGCGAGTGCGCGAGTACTCAGCGCACGGAGGGTCGCATGCTTGAACGCATGGCATGCTCATCTGCCTGCTCAGTCACGGTGAGGAGACGGAGAGCAACGGGACATGGAGCGTCACCTCCCCGCGCCGCAGGCTCAAGGCGAGAGACTTCGAAGACTTCCCGCGGAATGAAGATGTCTGCGGAGTATTCGGGTGGCTGCCGCTGCGACGCCTTGAAACCCCTCCGTGCCCTCCTTGCCACCAGCCCGCTTGGAGCCGCCTCGCATCCACTCATCGATCAAAATCAAAGGAGGATATATACATATATATGTATAAAAAGATGAAGAAAAGATCAGCAAGCCGAGTGAGCAGCGGGCGCTGGGGCCTCTCCTTGCCTCCACGAACTTCCACCACTCCGTTGCCCCTGTTTTGGGGGGGCCAGCCTTGCTGGCGTGGTGGCCCTTAGGCCACGGGATGTTCCCAACCTTCGGGGTCCGCTTTTGGGCCTTGAAAGTCTTGAGACACGGGGTTGCCACCACCCCTCCCCTACTCCTCCCCTTCCCCTGCTCTGATATCCCATCCCCTCCTGCCCCGGCTTTCCCTTCCGAGGCCGTTGAGTGGCGGGGCTAGAGCTAGCTTCGCGGCGAGCGTGACACGACCTTCCCTCCTCGTCTTCCTCCTCCTCCTCCTCCTCTTCTTCTTCCTCCCCCCCCCTCCTCCTCCATCTCCTCCTCCTCCTCCTCCTCCTCCTCCTGCTCCTCCTCCTCCTCATCCTCTTCCTCCTCCTCCTCCTCCTCCTCCTCCTCCTCCTCCTCCTCCGCCTCTTCATCCCCCTCCTCCT